CACACACACACACACACAGAGACACAGGAACCAACTAGAGGTCTAGGAAAAAGCAGCCACTACCTGAAGGCTTCTGCTCTGCATATGGATGGCAGGAGTAGAAAAACGGGCCAAGTTCCCTAAAGTGAACTCAGGTTGGCCTCAGAGCTCATGTGTCAGCCCAGAGCCCATCTTTGTATATAAACACCAGAGTTTCTGCCCCACCTGAAGACAGCTGTTTACTAGTGAGTAGAGCCAGTTAAGAACCACTTTCAATACCTGGAACCTTTCTAAAAAAAAAATCTTTGGTATCATAAGAAGCAACATAGCAGAAGAACAAGGTATAACTTCCTTTTGGCCTCCATCTGCTAGTCACTCCCTCCCCATTTGCCTACATCCTGCTCATGACCTCATATCTGATACTACAGACAGCTTACTCTTTCCTTTTCTAGGACAGATAGCTTAGATAGCTTTCTGTTCTCTGTGGCCCTTTTTTACTCCCACTACCAATTTACCTTTGTTGGCCACTTTTTTTGATGTGAGGCCAGCATATGCACCTGAGTCTTTGAAGATTGACATGGGTCCTTGTAGGTCTGTATGTGGCCTGAGATTGCTGAAGACCAAATCTTCTTGCCTTTGAAACTTCTACCCTCTTGCAAATGGAATACTAAAGCCAGCTTGTTCACTAGGCTAATAGCATCCAACCACCAACTAGGATCTCATTTTTATTACTTGGCTTTTCCAGGGTATGTTGGAGACACTGGCCAAGCTCATGGCCTTATGCTGGTGTTACTGCCACCATCTGTATCAAGAGCCACCCTTCACTAAGTTGCTGTTGTATTGGTGGCCTGGGAGGGGCCTGAGGCCTTCCATCTGAGTTTATCCTGAACCTCTGTCACTTACCAGGAGACCCACATGGCTCTTATGAAGCCAACTCAGAACTGAGGTGAGAGGCTTCAGTGCTGACTGCCTAGTGCTCCAGTAGGCGCTTACCAACTCTTTATCTTTGATAGTATATTTATTTTTGTGCTGAATGGACTTTGTACTGTATTCTCTATTAGTTCACTGTTAATGCTCCCGAGCACTAGGTCACCAGAGAACATTTGGCCCTATGTAAGTGTGCCTTTCACACATAGCTTTATTATTTTAAGTAGTTCCCAATTTTAATGAGGTTTAGTAACTTTAATGAGTAACTTTTTTAAAATGCAAATGACAATTGAAGGATCACTAAGGAAGATGGTGGCCCAGCTGGACTTAATTACACTAAAAATCATAAGGAAACACCCTTGAGATCCTGGGTCATTCTTTTTCTAATAACTCAGCTCCCTCATAACAGTCATGTTAGTAGTGTTACCAGCTGCCTGTTTACCAGTGCCACTGAAGCCACTACTAGACTTCACTCAAAAAATAAACCAGCCACCCAGACACAGGGAAGCATGTCTGAGACAGAGTGGCCCTCCATGTCTGAGTGGACTTGGAGAACATTGCTGGCATAAGCACCCTGGATTCCAGCTAGCCCTGGACCAAGAAGGCAAAGGGATTCTCAAGTAGAAATCTAGAACTGAAAATCTCCATATGGTTTGGGAAGTAGAAGTGAAGAGCCATATATAAATAAAGGTGTTATTTCTGAATAACAGTTTCAGTTGTTCCCCAGGTCTCAAGCCACTCCTGGCCCAAAAAGAAATCTTGCAGATATGGTTTGATGTTCATGGGGTTTTGTTTTCAAACTCAGACTCAGTGGTTCTATCTGTGAGAATTCTTTATACTGAGAAAACATTCTTAGCTCAGAGATTTTGGAAAAGGAGGCAGAAAGGAGCCATCTTTGGTGCTCAGAACCAAGGAATGCAATACAAAGACCATTGAATGCTGTTCACATTTACAAAAACAAACACTACTTGGTAGAGTCTTAGCACAATTTTCTCATCTCACCTAAATCTTCTAACAAAACAGGAAAGTTAATTCAAAATTTCCTTTTCATTCTCAAGCACTTTTTAAGTTTCAGGAGACCTCTCTGGTCAAGGGGCGTTTTTAGAGCTTTTTGATGTGTGTTTAATCTAGGTGTTCTGCTTTTGGTGACTGCAGTGACACTGAGCCTCTGTGGGAAGGCTTAACAATTGGAGTGCACTTTAAATCATTAATTCTCACTTTGTGTGGCCTTATGAGAAAATGGGTCAGGGAACCCATTTTATTCTTATCTGCCAAAGAGTTACTCAGAAGCACATCAAACACCAGCACTTCATCTGCACAAAGGGATGAGACTTCAGTATCATTGAATATACTCCTTTAATAATATCTGCTATGCCATTTGGAAATGTTTTTTAACCTCAGGTTTTAAATAAAGCAAACACTATGGCATTTGGAGTAACATTGTCTTTCATTCCTCTGATAAGAATAAATCATAAAATGGGTGACAGAGCTACCCAGCAGGAAGCAGGACATCTCACAGGGACCCTGCAGAAGAGAGTGTAAGTAGCAGATGTCTTCTAGCATTTGATACTCCCTAGTCCTCTCTGGGAATGGTACTGAGACCTGCCTAAACCTGCAATTCCTCCACCTATCCTCCTCTGCCATTCATATGGCTCCAGCTCCTCCCTAATGGTATCAGAGTACTCAAAGAACAAACTTTTTAACCTGCCAAAATAATGAAGTAAAAAAGGCCACGGATAGCTTTTAGCTTATTGTCAGTAAGCATGTGGCACTGATGCCTTGCAAAGAAAGAACAGCACTCCCACCAGTGTGTGTGCTACATTTGCTCAACAGCAAGGAGGCTAGAGACAGGCCAAAAGAGTGAGAGCTGCTCACTCCTGAACTGTTCCTGAACTGGTGCTCAGCTCCTTAACTCTTGAGATGACCAGAGACCCCATCTCTTGAGAATCCCATGCCTCAAAGAACACTGCCAAGTGCCTGTCTCAGTCCCTCCCTCCAATCTTCCCCTCCCCTAGATTTCCTCTGGTTGCTACTTGAATCATTGACATTTTCTTTTTAAAGATTTATTTATTTATTTATTTATTTATTTATTTATTTATTTATTTATTTATTATGTATACAGTGTTCTGTTTGTATGTATGTCTCCACACCAGAAGAGGGCACCAGATCTCATTATGGATGGTTGTGGGCCACCATGGGTTGCTGGGAATTGAACTCTGCACCTCTGGAAGAGCAGTCAGTGCTCTTAACCTCTGAGCCATCTCTCCAGCCCTCATTGACGTTTTCTATAACTCTCTGGTTCTCCCTTGAGGGCAAGGAACTCTGTCCCATTCATCATTATTATCCCCCACCATCTGAAGCAATAAGCTCAAAAAAGGAGGCTAAAAAAACACTGCACCAACAAAGATCTAGTCAGTCCCAATGCCTTAGGTTAGCAAAAAGGTTTTCAACAATCACACTGACCAACCAACTCTGCTGGAGACAACTAAAGAAAGACTGTGGGCAGAATTGTGGGAAGAGTGAGCATGGTATTGTCACTTACTCATTTGTGTGTTTGTGTGTGTATGTGTGTGATGACAGGGTCTCAATGTGTAACCAAAGCTTGCCTCAAACTCCCAAGTGCTGGGATGTAGTTATATACCATCATACCTAGCTCCACTGAAGACTCTTACGTTGAAGATGCCTTCAAACCACAGCTCTAACTGTAGTGACTGTGTGAAGTGGAAGGCAGGTTTATATAGGTGCCTCAAATGAGACAGCAGAGACATTCCTTGGCTAAAAGAACAGTGACTTGGATTCTGGGTTGGGGACAAGAACATGGACCACACAAGGCACCCAGTCTTGCATGCTGTATCTGGGATGTTCAGATCAAAATGCTCATCCTACCCACCACACAGCTAAATAACTACAGTGGCCAGAGTCTTGCCTATTAAATTATTCAGTAGTTGTCTTTCTGTGTTTAGTTCTTTTCAGTTGTCATAGTGTCCTACAGACTCATCCAAGTTACCAAATATTGGTTGAAATATTAAGGCAACTCCGCTTAGTTAAAAGGGAGATTTATTTTGTGGGGTAACTTACAAGTGAAGGGATAGGTTACAGGGTCCAGGAAAGGTGAAGCACAGTCCAGCGGTGTTCTCTGGAGAACTCTGCTCAGTCTACCTCCAGCATCCAGGATCCAGGAACCAAGAGAGCCGGCACTTCTGGATCTCAGGTCTTAAGCACTCCTGTCCCAGCCCCACCTCTTAGGCGTGACAGAAGCCTCAATGGGGATAGTACTTCCAGGACAAAGCTGGAACATCTACCCAGTACAACCACAGCTCTTTTTATTTCATTATGTAAATTTACCACATTTTCTGTATTCATGCATATGTTTGTGGATACCTAGGTTGAGTATGTATCTTAGCCATTATGAATCCTGCTTCAATAAACACAGAAGAGAAGATAACTCTTTCAAATGGTAATTTCAACTCCATTAGATATATATCTAGTTAGGCTATTAAAACAAATATATTAAACAGTTAAAGT